TTTATCACACCAACAGTCAACAACAGAGGGAGAGGGAAGCTTCAGAAGTTCCCCCTGTCCCATTTGGAGGGTTTTTTTAGCGTATTGCGCAATCGCGTCCGCCATTAACGAATCGATTCGTTATTGTTTCGAAATTGTTTCGTAATTTCCGAAATTTCGTAAATATCGAACTTTTTAAAAGAAAAATTTCGGAATTCTTTTAAATAACGAAACGCAAAAACCCCCTAAAAACGAATCGAATTTAGAAACAAATTTTTCCGTGGTTGGACAGCCCTAGCAGATACACATGTGCAGTAGGAAAAAACAGCACTGGCACTGCGGAAATTTTAGGGCTCTTCCACTCAAGCCACTCCTGACCGAGGGGCTCTTCCATTCCAGGCCTGCCTCGACTGTCAATGCTGAGGAGGAGGAGGCAGTGATGCCCCCTCAGGTGCCAATTGGCTCCCGCTGCCGGGCCTCAGCCAGACAATGGACTTCAGGCTGTTAGGAATAATGGGAGTGGAAATCCAAAACACCTGGAGGGGCCAAAGTTTGCCCAGGCTTGGATTAGATGCAGCCATGCCACAGTTCAATGTTATGGGATCCTGGGGTTTGTAGTATGGCACTCTTTGGCAAAGGAGGCTAAAAAACCATGCAAAACTACAGCTCCCAGGATTGTGTAGCATTGAGGCAAAGCAGTTGGAAGTGGTTCCTCAATAAGATCTGCCTGATCCACCTGGAGGGAGGGAGGCAGGAGAGGGAATGAAGGAAGAAAGGAGGGAAGGAGGGAGGAAGGAAGGAAAGAAGGAAGGAAGGAGGAGGGAAGGAAGAGAGGGAGGGGAGGAAGGGAAGGAAGGTGCTCCTTCCCTTCCAAAATTGGTTGCTTTAACCTATATCCCAATCAACCTTTAGTGCCACTGATCTATAACAGAAAGCAGCCTCTCCTTTCTCCCTTCCCAATTTTCTCCCGCCTTCCCCCTTTCCTTTTTTTTAAACCCAGCATTGGCTTGATTCTGTTGAGCAGAGGCTGCCTCCTGCCTGGCTAAACTCCCAGTTGCCAAACCTTGAGATTGAGGTGAGAAGGGGGGGGGGTGAGGAAACCTCGGTTTGAATGCAAACTCCAGAGCTCCAGTTGGTAATGCAGAAAAAGAGGAGGAGGAGGAGCCTGCTGCTCAGCCATTTTGGTGAATGCGCAGCAAGGCAGGGTGGGAAATGTAGTTTAACAACAGGGCCTTTTGCAATCTCTACCATTGGGGGCCTTCCCTTCACAAACTACAACAATGGCTGTGTTTAGGCATGCCCACCTCATCCCTCCTTTGCATTGCCCGGGAGGGGAAGCAAAACTTTACAAACCTTGCTTAATGCTTGTGAAAATTAAAATAACCTTGGGAGAGTTCCGAACATTACGAAATATTTATGAATAAAAAGGGTAAGTGGTTCACATCGTAATTAGATTACACCTCTTCATGGTTCAAAATTGATTCAAAAGACCAAATTCAATAGGTTTTAACAAATTTAAGGTTTTAACAAAGCAAATCTAACCAACTCTATAGCTTATATATAGCTTGCCTGGAGAGACCAGGCAGCATGAAAAATGACTATTTCATTTAAAATATTAATGACTAAATAAATGAAATATAAATGACCAATTGTTTACTCCAGTGAAAGTCAAGATTCTCTAAGTAAACATTAGAAAAATAGCATGTGTTAAACTGTGAATTCAAACAAATCTAAACTGGTAAGAGGATATATATGCCAGGATAAAAAAGATGATCACAGATCTTTCCCATTGATGTCCACAGTGGAAACTAAATATGGCCTACCATTTAGTGCATACAACAGTCATTTGTTCCATTGAAATCAATAGTATGTAGAAAGTTTTAAATTGGTTAAATCATTCATTTTGTTGCCAATTTTGTTGAGCAACTTGGGTAGGAGACAAGATATAAATTTGGTCACAAAATAAATAGGCCATATTATGGACTGAAGATTGCACCTTCCCTTCACCTCAAAGAAAGTTAGGCTACCAAAGCAAAATGCATTCATTTATCCTTTAGAATAATTGTACAGATGTTTCAGCTGAGGCTGCAACTGTTCTGGAGTCTGGGCGTCATGACAGTTCAGAGTATAATGACCTTGAAACAAGATGCGACCCCTGGAATGGATTCACTTAATAGTGTTCACACTTCTTTGAGCAAAACAATTCGTAGTCATTCTGGCAAAGACTTATTCTAAATTGTGTGCCCATGAGCGGGAGACACAAAAAGAAGAAAATCTAATACTCCAAAGCACCTAGACGCGATTTTCCATTTACTTTCAAATCTATCTGTACTTGAAGAGGGCCACAGTGAGATTAATGCATTAGCTTTTCATTTTGGAACCTGGTTTTGTTGTCACTCAAGGAACTAGAATTACATAACAGGCAGGTTTGATATATTGCCAGTGCCTCAGATGACTGTTTGTAAAGTCATATAAAAATAATCTCACAACAAATTCGCCTGCACAGTTGCCGTACTAAAACAATGTTGGTACTTTGACAAAGATGAAGAAGTGTATATATTTTCATTGGATCTGCAAAGGAATGAAACTTTTGTGCAAAAAACCTCTGGGTCAGGTTTTACATTTTTGTGCAATGACCCCTCTACACAAGAAATGTTGGACGGACTGATATTGGCTCCACCAGCTCATTTACTTCTGCTGCGATGCACAATATAGGATTCTGTACGAAAGCAAGAAAACAAAATCAAATCAAATCAAATCTCATCAAAAGTAACCAGACTCAGCAGTAGACTTAATTTCACCTGGAAAGTACTGGAAATGCAGTTAGGAAATTCTTGTAAGCTTCAAGGATCTCATAACCTGTAGCCTCAAGAACCCATATAAACTAGAGGTTGCTGACTCTATGCTGATTGAACTAAGAATAGTGGCATGCAAACAGCAACATGGCAGGTGCCATTTTCAAAGTACAGCAATAACTGTAGATAACAATGATAGTGTGCACTTCCATTTTCTAGTCTCCCCTCCAAGTAAGCAAAGGGTCAATGAGGTGTTGGGTTAAGTTACATTTATTGGGAGTCAGCCTCACAAAGGAGTCAAAGAGGTCACAAGAAACAATTACTCAATGAGAATTGCCAGTTTGGGAGATGTACCAATACTTGTTGAGGCTTCTAAGTAAGAGACAATAAATCCTCAGGGGGTCATGATAAACAAAGGATTGAGGTGTCTGTCTCAAGGGAAACCTGATCAAGGGAAACTTGGTCAAGACAAGGCAAAGATGGTGATACTTCTTAGAATAAGAAATGTTCAGATAGAAGTGCTAGGGCCTTAGGTTGCTTTCTAACCTCAACTGAATATGATCAAGATTGAACAACTTGTAACTACTTCTATGTATACCTGAAGGAAGTATACATATATATTTGAAGGAAGTATACATGAAGTATACATCTTGTACTCATGTACAAGATATTCTTTTGCTAATGTAGATTTCCTGCATATAATTAAAGCTTTACTTTAAAATATCCTTTTTCCCCACACTCTTTACAAGTGTCAGCTTGTTGTGTGTGTAAATGAGACTGAGGAAAGGTTTCCACAAGCTTAAAAGTGGAGAAAGTGCAATTCAAATTCCTCAGTAACTGAATTACTGAGTCAGTGGAGTAAATCAGTGGATGAAGACAGTCAGATGATATTAAGGAGTTCACTCTCCAAGAGCTGTAGACAAGGCCATTAGAAGTACATAGAATGAATCTCTATCTCTATACATGTATTAAAGATGAAAAAATACATTTGAAAGCCGCATTTTCATAGAAACCACTGGGAAGTAAAGGAAAGTTCTTGGTATTACAAGGAACATTTTGTTTTTCAACTCTGTCATTTGTTGTTGGGGAATAGCAGAAACAATATTTAGTAAATTAATAAAAATGCTGCCAGTAAAGAAGTAACAGTAAAAATCGTTCTTTAAGAATACAAATTTTAAAACCTGGATAATCAAATCAAGCATTATTGCGCAAAACTTCTCAGTTTGTGATTGCAACCCACCTCCTTATAACCTTGCATGGAACTGATTAAGTAGATTCAGTTCAGTCTACTTTTAGCTTAATTTGGAAGTTGAAACTTGTGAATGCCATGAATGATAAAATACAATGGAAGATGGGCAAGATACACCCAACTCTCCTGTTCTTCTTAATATCACTCAACAGAATTGACTGTAAGACCAATAATATTGCATGGCATTAACTAAACAGTGGTTGCTGTAGTTATTTCAGAAATTTATATCCCATCCTTCTCACCCCCAGGGGGGAGGGGATACGACTCAGGGCAGCTCACAACCTGCACCATTAGGTGCCAAACAAATAGTAGCCATAAAATTACACTTAAAACATTAGTGAAAAACAGAAAATTATAAACATCCATTTAAAAATTAAGCAAATCCAAATCCAGAGTCATAATCTGAGGTCTATCCTTTCTTCGATAAATATGTTCTCACTGTGTTTTGAAACTGTATTATGTTTTAATGATAATTATTTTAGTTTTATTACCTTAATCATCAAGAAAGAAATACTGAGCTCCTTCTACACTGCCATATAAAATCCAGATTATCAGTTTTGAACTGGATTATATAGCAGTGTAGACTCAAACAATGCAGTTCAAAGCACATAATGTGAATTATAGGTTTTGATCATCTAGATCATGTGGCACTGTAGAAGGGACCTGAGCCTATTTTATTATGGGTGGTTTTTTTGTTTTTGTTTTTTATAAAATGGGTCTACTTTTGAGTCATTGACAGGGAGCCAAGGTAGAAATATTAAAATTTAATCTTATAGTAATATATATGTGGAAAGGAAGAAAACAGAAGTTATTTGCCTTAAAAAGGAATAGACATAAAATAATAAGAATAATTTCCTTAACCATATAGTCTCCTTTTAAAATGTGCACATAAATACCAATACATTTATAAATGCTTTTTTGGTGCCGCTGAAGTTACTTTTCTTGTTATAATATAAATATTTTGAGATAATACTTACCAGATAATTCACAGCCAAGGAGTTCCATTCGCAAAGTACAATGTCTTCTACAAACTTGAGGATATAATCGTAAGTACTGAGCTTTTATTGGTGGGGTGAAAGAATTTGCATATGGTGTATTATTGTCTACATTTCCACGGAACACCTATGAAAAAGCACATGACATTGCAGAATGCATTAGACTCTAGAATGGATTTGAATGGCAATACAGACAATTAATTACTGTCATCAGACATTTTTTTTATTTAGCTTCAAGCAGATGTTTCCTATTCTCCATTGAAGAATAATAAAGACATTAGGGAACAGTCATGCAAATACAGGCAAGCAATTATCAAGTGATAACTTTATGAAGTCAAGTGAGTTAGTATTTGTTTGAAACATCCTGCCAAGCAGTAAAACTCCTCTTCTTTTCTGTATTTCTGATTCATAATAATTATGGATGAAGGCCATAAGTTGCACTTGATAAATGCTTGTGTGCTTCATATACTTGGAAAGTAACTGGAACTGGAAAAAAATACTTCTGAAGACTAATTCAGTTCAGATAAGGGCATTAGTAGGTCTTGGAAAAGGAACTATTTTGATGAATAGAATGGGACATACAAATAGCAGATGAAATAGCGTGTTAGATGGGAAATATGAAGCTAGATCACCTTTTGTTCCTTCAAAGGGTTTTAAGTTCAGTGGGAACAAAGACAATAAAGTTTGGCCTTTCCACATAAGGTTATAAAGAACCCCCTCTGACAAAAAAAAACCCCCATATTGCCATGGAGGAGTGTTATTTCTGTCTATCCTGTAATATCTCAACACACTATGTCATGTTTCCCCACTTACCTAATCTTTTAACCTCTATCTCATCAGGTGGCCTTTGAAATTCTGAAAGCTAATGTGACATATTTTGTGTCTTTGGGTTGGTCCAATAAAGGTATTGTCACAGGGTGGGGTTTAGATTTAATTAATTCATTATTTAAATAATAATTTCATTCTAGAATCACATTATTGCTAAAATTTCAACTTAAATGAATCACTTTAGTTTGAATTACATTTAGGTTTTACTTTAAAAAATAATGATATACATTGCTATCACTGTTTATGACATAAATGCAGTTGAGAAGAAAAGACCACCTGACCAGGGCTCTTCTGTGTATTTGTCTTCTTTCAAGATGGCTTTGAGAAAATCAGGAAATGATAGCACCCTCTTATTACCAAACATTCCTGCATCTTTGTACTTGCGCATATATATATATATATATATATATATATATATATATATAAAGATGCTGTACTAAGGGTCAAGCTACATGTTTCTTTAAATATGTAGCTAACAGTGTATTTCTTTACTAAATGGTACACAAAGACCTGATCCAAAGTGGGTCCTTAGAATAAACAAGAGAACAAATTTAAACTTCAAATCCCCATTATAACCTTTTTATAGGTCAAGATAACGATATCAGCTATTTGCATGGTCCTAATAGCTATGTCCTCACTTCCAACACATTGTGGTACTAGGCCAGATCAGGCATCCCATGCTTACTTTTCAGTAAAGAAAAAAAATATTTTATTAAAGTGTGACTATGAATGACATGAGAAAAAGGTGGTAGCTACTCACACCTTTTTTTCTTTTTTTCTTTTTTGATCGTTTTATCACTACTAGGGCTGGAAAGATATTTGGAATTATCCAAAAATCATTGAGAAATATATTTTGGAATGTCAAGAAATCCTGATGAGCAAAATACTGGAGTGACAAAAAAAATCGTAGTTTAGGATTTACCTCATGCAAAATAGAGATTATTTGTGATTTGCACAGAAAACAGAAGTTTCTGCATAGAAAATACTTCCTGTGAGGAAAATGTTGTTTTGGGTACAGAACGACTACAATCAGATTTTGTGCTGAATGAGTATCAAGTTGGAAATGGGCTTCAAAAACTGGGTGCTTTTCAAAAATTTTCTTGAAGTAGGAAGAAGAGTGTGAAAATTACTTCTTGCATCCTTTGAGGAAAAATTAGTAAATAATTGCATCCTTAATGCATGGTCCCCTTCTTGTTTCTTATTTTAGGGTACAAATGACATGTCCTTAAACTAAAGAAAGCATGTATGCTTTTATAAGTAAAGTACAAGATGATAACTACTAAGACCAAAATTCAAGTAAAGTGCAAGGTCTTTTTAAGCTGGGTATAATTCTTAAATAGTTATTTTACATACAACATTTCAACAACAGACTGTGCCCAAGGTGGCTTACAAATACCAGCCTATTATATTTGAAAAGGAAAGGTGTATACAATATTCCCATTGAATGTATGCTATTAAGGATTACCTATTTGCTAACATCATTAATTTAAATTCTAACAGAGAAGTAACTCCTGTTAAAGTAAAACAAAAATAATTTAAATACAATAAATTATATTTATAAAATGATCAATTAAAATAAAGGAACTCTTAGTCTACACAGAATGTCAGTTCATTCCAAAGATTCTAAAATAAAAATTATTTAAGATAAACTATCTCATTCAACCCATTTTTGTAACACAATTACATCCCCCCACTAAACTATCATACATTCCAATGCATAAAATGGTTTTTGTATTGATGACACTGACTTACCATATCTTCAGTTGTGCGTTTCACTTTGTATGTTGCCCATAATTTCCCATCATTGCTATATGCAATTTTGTATGATTTTATGTATTCTGGGCTTCCAATTCTCTTGGCACCTTGAGTTATAACTCCAGTTATTCTCATCTTTCTTTGCAAGTTTATCTAAAAAGAATAATAATGTCTCATTATCAATAGTAGGATGATTAGTATGTGATGTTTCATTTCATATTTGGTTTAAAATGCCTCTGATAGCTTCTCTGGTATCTGAATTTTTGTATGTCAAGGTATTATTTGGGCAAGAGCTTAGACCTTGAGGATTAAACATTTAATGAATTTCATTGGGTACCATGTATGTTTTTCCAAGTATGTTCTCAACAGAAGTACAGACAGTGCATAGTTGAGCTGTTTAATTAACTTCTACAAGATGTTACTTTGTTTCTATTTTTGGTTGTTTTAAAGAAAGATTAGCAAATTCACATAGAAAAATTCTGTCTGTAGCTACTCATCATGATGGAACTATATTTCATGAGCACTAGTTTCAGAGGAACAATGGATGAAAAGGGCAGGTGTTCTTATACTCTATTATTTATTTATTATTTATTTACAGCATTTATATTCCGCCCTTCTCACCCCGCAGGGGACTCAGGGCAGATTACAATATATGGCAAACATTCAATGCCAATTAGACATACAACGTATATAGACATACACAGAGGCTATTTAACTTTTTCTGGCCGCCAGGGGAGCTGTCGCTTTCATTGTCCATCTGTGACACTGATGAAGTACTTCAGTATTCCCTGCATGCTTTTGCTGGAGTGCTTTTTGCTGGAGTCTTTTTATGGCCTCATAAATTAGTTAATTAGCCTCCCCACACAGAGGTGGTACCTTATTTTCCTACTTGACAGATGCTACTGTCTTTCGGGTTGCAAAGGTCGACAACAAGCTACACAAAATTGGCCAGAAGCTCACTCCGACCCGGGCTGGCTTCAAACTCATGACTTTCTGGTCAGAGTGATTTTAATGCAGCTGACACTCAGCCAGCTGTGCCACAATCCCGGTGCGCATCTCCGCTACAGCTAGTTACTTTTTAAAATTTATGTTCCAAATTTTGGCTATATCATGTAAGAGGTGACACTTAGAAGTGGATTTCATAACATAATGTGCCCGTGCTATCCTAAGTGGAACCTATCCAAAGTAGTAAATTGATTATTATACATTTCCCTTTAATATGACTGATTAATTGGTATTACTAAGGAGAGACGCAGGTGGCAATGACTTTCCTCCTATCTCTTTAATTGTGCAGGATCATGAACATCGATTGTGTATTCCTGCATGCTAGGAAGCTGAACTAGATGGCTCATACAGTCCTTTCTAATTTTATGATTTTGTCTTCAAGATATTCCACTGAGTTTTAGTCCTAAGCATGGTAACTGTTTTATTGGTTGATTCCCAACAAATAAGCTTCATTAAGATAGCAGTGTTTATGGATTTTTTTTTTTAAAAAAAACTATCTTAATAATAAATTATTAATAAGAATGGCCAATGCTCATATTTGCACTTAGGTGGTTTCAAAATTTGATATATTATATGCCTTAAGAAATTGCAAGGAGAAATCCAACTAGGTCATATCTTTATTTATATCAATATGGGTCCTTAGAAAGGACACTTGGAAACCAATTTCTACTAAACATTTCTGTTTTGGTCTTCTAGATATAGATGGCAGTTAAACAAAAGCACAATTCCATTTGAATTAACACTCTGGCAATCCTATTACCTTTGTGTTTGACAGGCTTTTTCTAAACTCATCTGCAGTTAACACTAGCTATACATTCTTTTCTCTTCTCTCCACTCCACAAGATCAGAAGTGAAGTCCCCAATGAAGACTGAAAGAACAAGCCATTTCAGTGTTCAGGAAATTGTAGAAATCTGTACTTGAATATGGTACTTAGGGAAAATTCAGGCTCTATTGAGCAAACATAACTCAGTGCCTCAAAGTAATTACTCAGGTTAATACAGGCTTTGGGTGCTATTCTGAAAATCTGTATATAGTTTAAAGAGAGGAGAAGTAGAGCAATGAACAACTTTCAACAATCTGGCATACTATTGGAATAGAATAACAATCCACCCACACATCCAAATAAAATACATAATGCTCAAAACTAAGTTTGTTTTGCCAATAATTCAGTATTTGAAGTAAGGGTGATTAGATTTCTTAGCCTGCACAATGTAAGTTCCAGGGAACTCTATGGGGCTTGCGTTTTAGTAGATATGCATAGGTTTGCTCATTCAGTGACTAATGTTGCTTTTATGAGATTTACTAAATAATATGGTAGCTTTTAATATTGAAATTATACCTACATGGTATTTATCAAATATACCAAAAGACACACAACAGAGCACAAGTTCAATTTCAAATAGGGGAGGAGAGGGAAGTGGCAGGCTAGTGAAGGTGATCAGTAGGCTAGATAAGACAGACTCAGGAAATCTGAATATATGTGAGTAAAACCAAGGGATTTTAGTCTATACTTAATTGTAGGTATAAAACAAACCAATGAAATATATCAAGGCAGTGTAATGTAACCTGTAGCCAGAAAAAAAAAACTGGGAGGGGTTGAAACATTTTTAGTGAATCATAACACAAAATAATTTAAATTTTATGATTAATTATATATTTTATATACATTTAATTAAATCAAATTTCAAAGTTTCAAGTCTTAAAAAACCTTAAAATGGCTTTAATTGGTAATTTAGTTGTTACAAAAGAATGCTACAATGTCTGTTGAAAGCACTTGAAAACTGTGTTAATACACTTTGATAGAAATCAGGCTCCATCGCGCCTTAGGCTGTGCCTGCCAGTTGTGGGTGGGTCAACTTAGTTGCTTCCACTGTATCAGCCATTACTGCTATTGCAATGAAAATTGGTGGAAAGGTAGGCAATAACAGTATGAACAAATTGTCAAAAGGTTGAGGGACTCTTCATTTTTGCTTCTCATAGATTTAGTACAGGGTGTTGGTTAATTAGCTAAAATTCATGAGTAAACCAGGGTTTTTTTTTAACTGAAAAATTTTGGGAGTGTTTTGAACCCCTACCTTACTCCCCCCCCCCACACACACACACACACTACAGGCCCGAATGTAGTGCTGTGTGTTTTGAAGATCCCATGCAGTCAAAATACTTATAGGGTGATCATAATCTCTTTCATCTTAACAAATCTTGCATTACTTTCAAACTAAGATGGGAAGGAAGAGAGCCATGTATACTAACTTGAGCTAAGTGAATAAAGAATAGACTATAAATATAATTAATTATAATAAATAAATTGCAAATAAATAGTAAAAGATGGCAATCTCCATAGGCAGTGTTAATTCAATTAACCAATAAACTTGAATGAATCTGGTAGATCTTTGTCACAACAAAAGCAAAGACAGAGAATGAGAAAGAGATTTGCAATTTGAAGATACAGTATTATAAGGAAAGGCCTGAGCTAAAATATAAAGTCTAAGTATAGTTGACTTGTTATTTGTTAATTTTTGTTTATTTCTAGGTTTAATATACCAATTCCCAAAAACAATTGCTTTAGAAGTGGCATACATTCAGATCTATACATATTTGTGCTTACTGTCACACCTCAAACACAGGAACAAGCTTCATTATCCCATCAACGAGAAAATATTTGTCCTTAGAGGATCTAAACAATTCTAAGGGTTTTTTAAAAGAGAGAGGGAGTTATGCTCTTATCCACAGATGCCAAGATTAGCACTTGAGGTAGAGCTGGAAGCTTTCCAAACTATTAAGATTTGACTTGTAATTCAGCCCTGGGATTTGAGAATCACAAGAGACTTGTTAGTCTGGTGAATAATTTATTCTGACAACCAGCAAATATGTAAAAGTAGGAGTTAAAAATACACAAAGAACCCTAAGCATGAAATCTATTCTCTCTAGGCAATTATTTGCAGTCCGACTTTTTAAAAACCTAATATGATTATTAGTATAAACAGAGGAAAAGGCAGATCACCTTACCTTGCATCTTACAAATTAACTACATGTGAATAGCTGATTGCTGTAGTCCTTTCCTCATTAACTTTTTGTTTCAATTATCTTGTTCATTTTTGGCTTGCTTTTAGATTTGTGTAATGCATTCTGCAAATGGATCTTCTGCAGGAAAGATTGCAGAAATGTAGGACCAAACAGTTGCATCTCCCCTGTCTCATCCTATTTTCCTATGCTGGTGCCTAGTAAATCACTCTAGCTGTTTTGGCTTTGGGGTTTGTGTGTGTACAATCCCTTACTTCAATGCCATTGGGAATCCCTTTTTTCATTCTTCAGTGTGAAGATCCCCAGAGCTTTTAAACATTATTTGGACAGCTAATGCGTTAGTGTTAAAATTGACAAATGAATGCCCCTTGTCCCCATTATGGATTATTTAGGAAGTGAAGGAAAGGAATATACTTCATAGTAAGATTTTAACACACACTTTCAATTCTTCAGGTAGCAAGACAAAAATGAGATAGCTAGAGTGTACCTGCCACCACAAGGGGAAGGAAGCACTATCTTGATAGTTCCTCCAACATGACCCAGTATTTCCAGGAGCACCTTTGTTTTTATTTAAATGTTTAAAAAACTTGGATGGGGAATGGCACACTCTCCAGTCATCTTAGCAATCAATCTGTATCTATATATCATAAAAGTGAAAATATGTTCGTATGTATGTATGTGCGTATGTATCATACGTTTGTGGGTGATTTCCAAGATGGTTCCTACTTCCAGAGAGTCCTGTAAATCCCACTGATGATGGATCTAGATCAAACTTGGCACACAGACCCCCCCCCCCAATGACCAACAGAAAATATTGGCAGTATGTGTGTGTGGAAACTGACTTTGGATTTTGGGAGTTATAGGTCACCTCTCATCCAGAGAACACCATGACTCCTGCCAACATTGGATCACTACCAAACTTTGCGCACATACGCAACATGACCACATTTAAGTACTGGTGGGGTTTGTAGGGAATTGATATTGGATGTTGGGAGTTATAGTTCACTCACATGCAGAGAGCACTGTAAACCTAAACAACGATGGATCTCAACCAAACTTAGCACACATACCCAACATGACCAACTTTGAATGCAGGTTTTGGGGAAACTGACCCTCAATGTTGGGA